ACATATAACAGGATTACTGGCAAAGGTTTCACTTTCCTGCATCTCTGCCAACACTTATTGTACAAGATTATATTTGAACAGGAAATGAAAATCGTGTGGGCTGAATAATTTGTTGTGTATATACTGCATTTAAGGCAGAGGCCAAGAAAAGGCTGAGCAAACATTGGCCTAAGGGTTATTTGTTATTTAGCAATGAAAAGGAAGATGCAAGAGCTCTTAATTTTACTTCTCATTTACAGAAAGCCTTTATTGAACAACATATTATTTTTTACTGTCTTTAATATGCATTTTCAGTTACAGTCATACTCCAGTAAAAATTGGAATTCAAGCTTTAACATGCATTTTGTAAACAGTCTATTTTCTAAAAACTTCAGTTTTTGCTCTAGATATTGCTGTCTTGCACCAATCCACCCCTCTCTCATCGGTCAGTAAGCAGAAAGAAGGAAAACAGAAGTAGACTCACTCATTCTGCATACAATATAACTGCTGCCTATTACACAGGTATCAGGTCAAGGTAAAACACAACATGTATTGTTGCAGTGTTTTTTGGCTACTCTATCTATCTATCTATCGATCTATCTATCTATCTCTTCTTTATCACTCTGTTTCTCTCACTGTACCTATATGCAGTACATTCTAGTACATTCTAGAGTACCTTTCAAAATGATTTATTATTTATAGTACAATAATGTGTATAAGTTCCTATGTATCTGGTTATTACCTTTTGTGTCATGAATTAAACTCTAGTTCAGGTAAATGTAGGACATAGCTGTTATATACAATGGGTCAGTTAAGTCCATTCTTTAAGCCCTCTTCCTCATAGAAATCTCCTATTAATTAATATCAACATAAACAGGTTTAGGCTAGAGCAGATGTTATGAGCTGACATTTTGAATCAGTGAGCTATTGAATCACTGAACAAGAGCTGAATGTTTGCTTTTTTTCCATAATAGGTTTTGGCAAATGAATAACCCTATGGGCTCTGTTATGGGAATAGGAAGAGACTAGTTAAAACCTCAGGCAATCTGGCTATGTGCACTAGATGAGACATCATCTCACTTGATTTGTTGTTACCAAATCATTGACATAAACTAAGTCCTTGAAGATTAGCTGCACAGGGTCTTCGCTCTAAATAATAGTTTGCATCAAAGTGATTCATCTGTGACACCGTTTGCTTTTATTCGATTTCCTAGCTGCGTTCTTGTAATCTGAGCTAATAAGGGGGCAGGACAGATATGCCCATTGGCCAATGCTAAGGTTTCTTGCACAAGTATGCTAACCTTTTCATATTATATGTTTAACTGCTTGTTGCTTGCAGCAATACAAGTGCTTTATACACTAATTTATGACTGCTATAGACAAGTATAAAAGATTTGAGCCAGTTTGCACAATTTGCCATGAATCCATTTTATTTCTTTAATATAAGGCAGAAACTGTTTCATATATAAATATTCATACATAAGGCATTTATTCTATATAGCATAGTAAAATAAATGAGTTTAAAAGTGAAAAGTAAGTTTGCCATGTAGAGTGTTCCATTTTGATACCGTGTTTCCCCGAAAATAAGACACTGTCTTATATTTTTTTTGCCCCCAAAAAACACACTGGGTCTTTTTTCAGGGGATGTCTTATTTTTTTTTTTATACTGTGCAACAAAATGTACAACAATCTAAAGTTATCTGGTATCACTCCACCTGTCACAGTAACCCGCGCTGTAGAGGAATATCGGTCAATGCGGCTCTGCTCCCTCCGCCGACGCAGCCTTGCTTTCTGCAGCGCTGGCATGCTTTGCCATCAGGGACAGTGGTACCAGCGGTGCAGCAGTGGGGACATCAGACAGTGGACAGCGCAGTAAAATATGGTACCATTTACCGGTACACATTACAGTACAGTACCATTACATTAAGCAGTGCCTTCAGGGGGACAGCAGTTGGTGAAGTATGGTACTGGAGTGCTCCCTGTCACTGCGCTGGCCGGAGGGAGTCCCCTGTCATCCCCTTAATACAGTATGTCCCTGCAGGCTGATACCATCTCTCCTGCTCTTCAAAGTTCCCCCTCACATGCTACCACCAAACTAGGTCTTATTTTCGGGGTAGGTCTTATATCACAGGAATCTTGAAAAACAGTGCTAGGTTTTACTTTCGTGATAGGTCTTATTTTCGGGGAAACAGGGTATATCTGTCACCGGCTCTCATTTTTGACTCTTACCATTCCTTTATACCGTGTTTCCCCGAAAATAAGACACTGAATTTATTTTTTTGGTCTCCAAAAAAAAAAAACCCACACTAGGTCTTATTTTCAGGGAAGGCCTTCTTTTTTTTTTTAATGTACAACAATCCACACTTATTCATGTACAACAGTCTACATGTATTCATGTAAAAAAATATACCGTACATTTATTCAAATACAGTCATTTCATCTTCTTCTGGAACATCGTCATAACTCTCCATTCCTGAATTCTGTCCTGATGCCGTACCTTTCCAAGAGAAATTCGGTAACCAATAGCTGGCCAGAATGAGCAAAGCACGCTTTCACTATCAATTCCTCACAGGCGAAGTGCATTTGGTATTACTCCGCCTGTGACAGGAGCCAGTGCTATAGAGGAAGCATTGGCTTATGCGGCTCTGCTCCCTCCGCTGCCACCTCGCTTCCTCTAGCGCTGGCTTAGTTGACACCGTTGATTCTCTCCCGTGGCTTTAAAGTGCCCCCTTATGCCACCACCGGCCCTGAGAATGGTCACAACTAGGTCTTATTTTCAGGGTAGGTCTTTTTTTCGGGGAAACAGGGTAGTTTTGATGTAAAGTTAGAGCTCCAGAACTGAAACTATTTTTTCAGGTCCCACTTTTAGAATTAACCAAACCAATCAAAGGGTCTGATGAGTGTGACCAAGGGCCTAGAGAGAATGTTATGATGCTGGGCAATCACACCCTTAATGCTGACTTTTTAACCAGTTGACATCCGCGGTGTTAAACCCCCTTCCCATCCAGGCCATTTTTCAGTATTCAGCGCTGCGGTACTTTAACTGACATTTATTCCGTCATGCAGCGCTGTACTGAAATTAATTTTATACCCTTTTTTGGGGACAGATAGAGCTTTCTTTTGGTGGTATTTATTCACACCAACCCGCAGATGCTGCAGTGCCGTCCGTCCGTTTTTTTACTACGGGCGGACGGCAAGAGGTTAAACTAAATTTTCAAATGACAAGGTTTCACAATCAAGAACCAAAAGATTGAACAGAATGAAATAACAACAACCAAAGGATTATAAAACAGAATTACATTTACAAAATACAAATCCTATGTGTGTTTCTCCTAGGAGGGGACATGTGTCCCATCAGCTGTCTGCATCTTGTAATGTAGGTGTGTTTGGTGTCTAACTGATTGCTATGTTCTTTTACATTGGTGTAACCATGTTTTTATGAATGTAACTCCACCCCAGCAGTAATTATGGTACCTGTATAGAGCTTGGCTCTGATAGTTCAATCTCAGGTCAAAAACCAGACTCACAGATGTGTATTTGTTTCTTTTTTTTTTTAAATTCTTTATTAAGGTATATGAAAATAAAGCGTACACATGCATATAATCAAGTCATATTTCCCCACAGTGGGGGTCACAGCATATACAAAGAGCTTGGGTCGTTTAGGGTGGTCGGGGGTAAGTGAGAGGCCTTGATATTGGCATGTATTCCCCATCCCTTAGGATTCCAAGAGCATGCGGTATTCCGCCGAGGTGGTATACTCTATCCAGTAGAACCATGTGGCCGTGAATCTGGAGGAGGTGCCCTTGACGGAGCTAGTCAGGTCTTCCATGAGTCTGATATCATTTATTTTGGAGAACCATAGCTGGACCGAGGGCGGGGTCACCTGTTTCCACATCAAGGGTATACATGCACGGGCTGCATTCAGCAGATGCACCAGAACTGATCGAGAGTAGCTCTTGAGAGGGAAATGGTTATGGTGGAGGAGGAAAAAAGCAGGCTCATCCGGCACTGTGTGGTCAGTGAATTTTTTAGATATCGCTCGGACCTGGGTCCAAAAAGGGGTTACTAGTGGGCACGACCAGAAAATATGCAGCATATCCGCAGGGCAGGAACCGCATCGCCAGCATTCGTCTGGTGTCGCTCAGAACATCTGGTGGAGTCTGTGGGGGGTTCTGTACCACCGTGTGAGGATTTTATAACCCAGCTCTTGGTATTTGTTGCAGATGGATGACCTCAGGGAGTGCCGCAGTATCCGGTCTCTCTCCTCTTGTGAGAATCGAGTCTCTAATTCTCCTTCCCAATTCTCAAGGAAATATAGTGGTTGGTCTAGGTCGGAGGACTGTGCTAGTTGGTAGCATAGGGAGAGCGTTTTAGTGGTGGGCCCCGAGTCTGCACATGTTTGTTCGAACGCCGTAAGATTACAACTCTATGCTGCGGGGGGTGGAAGCGATAAGAGGAAGTGTGTTAATTGGAGATGTCTCCAACTACCAAGGTGCCTTAATTCAGGATCCGTGGAGAGGTCTCCCAGCGCGTGCCATGATTGTCCCTTAAGAAAATGTAGCACCCTGAATTTCCCCCTAGACAAGAAACGCCTGAACCGGCCGCCTTCCAGTCCCGGGGGGAACCCGGGGTTGCCTATAATCGGCTGCATAGGCGACGGTGCCCTCAACAGATGCTTCTTCTCAAACGCCCAACGGGTGACTCACAAAGTAGGTCCTATCATCGGGTGTAATCGGGACTTATTGGGCGGAGGTCCCGCACACCACGGTAGGACTGCTAGGGGGATATCGGACGACGATTGTTCCAAGTCTATCCAGGGTTTGGTGTCGCCGTGGTGACACCAGTCAACTACCCGGGCTAGGTGGGTAGCTACGTAGTATGTGTGAAAGTCGGGTACGGCGAGCCCACCAGCCACCTTGGGGCGTCGTAAAATCGACTGCCGGAGCCTGGGGACCTTGCCGGCCCAAATAAAGTTGGTCACTGCTGTCTGGAGGTAGCGGAAAAACGCTCGGGGGATCAATATCGGGAGGGCCTGGAGAGGGTAGAGGAGGCGTGGGAGGATGTTTTGTTTAATGACATTACATCGCCCAGTCCATGAAAATGTTGAGCGGGCCCATCCCTGGAGATCGGATCTAATCCTTTGAAGCAACGGGGGAAAGTTTAGATTGTAAGTGTTTGTCAAAGTCCGGGGGAGTAAGATGCCCAGGTATTTAATGCTTGTGGAGGACCAGTGGTAGGGGAAGTTTTGTTGGAGACACGGGGGAGTCAGGGCCAGGGGGGAATAGTCAGATTGAGAGCCTCTGATTTCTGGGTGTTGATATGATAATTGGACAGATCACCGTACCGGTGTAAGGCATCTATCAGATTGGGTATAGTGGTGTCCGGTGTCGAAAGAAAAAATAACAGGTCATCCGCGTATGCTGCTACCTTGTGTTCGGTGTCTCCCACCATTACTTCCCGAATATCTGGGTGCGCCCGAACGGTCCTAAGTAGGGGTTCTAAAGTTAAAATGAAAATGAGGGGCGAGAGTGGGCAGCCCTGTCTCGTGCCGTTGGAGATCCTGAATGTGGACGACAGGACTCCGTTGACACTGACCCTAGCCGTCGGGTGTGAGTATAGGGCCATAATCCACGACAGCATATCTGGGCCCAGTCCTACGTGTTCTAGAGTGAGGCGCAGGAATGACCAGTCGACCCTGTCAAAAGCCTTCTCCACGTCCGTTGATACAACCAGGCTTGGGATGGCTTTGGACATGGCCGAGTGGATAATATTGAGGGCACGCGTGGCATTATCTCGTGCCTTCCGGAAGGGGACGAATCCGAATGATCTGAGTGGATCAGGAGAGGGATGTGAGGGAGCAGTCGCATGGAAAGGACCTTGGCCAGTAATTTAGTGTCCACGTTTGGTAGGGAAATTGGGCGATAACTAGGGCATATCTTGGGGTCCTTGTCTGGCTTTGGGATAACCACTATGTGGGCTGACAGGGCGTCACCCGGTATGGGGTTACCCTCGTGTATCGAGTTCCATGCTGCTAACAGGTGAGTGGAGAGTAGCGTTGGGAAGGTTTTATAGTACTGTAGGGAGAAGCCGTCGGGGCCCGGAGCTTTGCCGGTGTTGGAGGCTTTGATGGCGGCCTCCAGCTCCGCGGCAGTGATTGGGCACTCGAGTGAGGTGAGGATCTCGGGCGATATCTTGGGCATGGCTGAGGCCTCTAAGTAGGCACGTATTTGTCGCTGTCGTTTTGTCAGGGACTGTTTGGTCTGCGGGCCAGGTAGGTTGTATAAGGTAGAGTAATATCCCCTAAAAACCTTAGCTATGTCCTCCGAAGTGTGACACAGTGCTCCCGTTGATGTTTTAATGTCCGGGACGAAGGTGCGTGAGCGTTGTTGGCGGAGAGCCTGCGCTAGGGAGCGGCTGCACTGGTTTCCGTATTCGTAGAAGTGACGACGACATTTGGTCAGGGTAGCTTTGGCCCTATCTAAGTAGAGGGACTTGAGGGAGTCGCGTAGGGAACATAGTTGAGCCAGAAGGGCAGGGTCCCGGCGCTGTTTATGTAGGAGCTAGAGGGCATGAATTTGCGTCAGCAGTGAGTATTGCTGGCCCAGCCATTGTTTCTTGCGTCGGGTTCCCAGTTTAATTAGAGTGCCCCTAATATATGTCTTATGCGCCTCCCAGATAATTTAAGGTGAGCAGTCCGGTGTAGAGTTCAGTTCAAAGTATGTGCGTAAGTCGTTTTCGATCTCGGAGCTCATCTCTGGATCCTGTATGAGCGTCTCATTGAGACGCCAACGCCAACACTTAGGCCCTTGAGGACCCAACTCCTGTGTGAGCATGATCGGGGCATGGTCGGAGTATGTGATGTTACCTATCTCAGTTTGCGAGATCAGTGGTAGACTGCTGTGGTGCACTAAGAAGAAATCAATACGTGTGTAGGTATTGTGTACCGCCGAGTGTAAGGAATAGTCTCTAGTGGTGGGATGGTGTAGGCGCCAGATGTCGGCCAGTTGGTGCATATGAAAACATTTTTGGAGGCGTTTCAGTGCTGCATATGGCAGATGGGAGGAGGGATTTGTGGAGTCCGTTTCGGGGTCTAGGTGGAGATTGAAGTCCCCTCCAACCACCAACACCCCTTCCCGGAAGTCATCCACCTGCAACATCACACGTTCCAAGAAGGGGACTTGGCCCTGGTTCGGGGCATAGATGTTCACCAGTGTCAACTTTCTATCTCCTATCAGGCCCTTTACCATGAGGAGACGGCCCTCCTCCCCTGCAGATACCTCCAATAGGTTCCATGGTAGTGTGCGGTTTAGCAATATACAAACTCCCCTTGATTTTTTGTCTGGAGAAAAACTGTGATATGTGGTGGGATAGTGGCGATCGCGGAATGAGGGAGCCCGCCCATCGGCCAAATTAGTCTCCTGTAAGAAGCTCACCTGTATTTTCTGTCTGTGTAGGTCCGTGAGCACCATCCTCCGCTTCTCCGGCACATTTAGGCCCCTGACGTTAAGAGATAGTATCCTGAGGGAAGACATTCTCAAATATTGTTCAGGGAAAGGGAGTGGGGGGGTAGGGGAGAACAACAAGGGGGAGAAAAGGGGGGGATATCGCTGACGAAGACTGAAGGGTTAGGAAACACTTATGGGTACTAGTGGGTGGGGTGGAACAATCAAGTATAGAGTACTTGTGGCTATGGACTAACTGGTGAACCGAGGTTCACAATCCCTGTGGCACTGTAGGCTCTGCAGGGACTAACTAGTGGGGGAACGAATCTCAACAAGGCGTAGCGCGGCTCCGTGGGCTATTAGCCGTTTGGTAAGGAGCATAGCAAACATCAATCCGGTATGTAGGGAACCGAGCCCAACTATGGCGCAGGGACAGCGCCTGGTGATGGGGTGCCAGAGGCAGGTAAAACGAGTGGCGGGAAGGGCACCCTGGTGCGTGCCGCTCCTGGGGCTCCCCGGAGCTTACCAACCTGGGAGACGGTTATCAAGTCCCCTGAGCTGCGGGAACCATCCGCTCCCTGCCCCCACCCCCTTCCAACCCCGAGACCCGCGTCGGGCTCCCCACCTCTACAGGGCGACATTCTTAACAGTGTGAACTTTAAAGCATAAAAACATTTTAAAAAAACGATTTAAACTGCTAGAGGTAGCAGTAGTGAGGCCCTAAGCTGGAAGCTTTAAACGGCTCTTAGCATCAAGACCACGAAACTTTCGAAGATAAGCCCAACGTGGGCCTCTCAGGCCCGAGTCTGTAGTGTCTGCACACAGGCTTGCCAGTATGCCGGTGGATACGTGCTGGAACTCGGTGGGGAGGGGACAAAAACAAAAGGATACTGGCAGTCTGGCGGGCCGGGGCCTGCCGGTTGGAGGTATGCATCGTGGGTTCATCGCTTCGGCCATGGCCGCACGCCAAGGCCTGCCATTCTTGGGAGATGGTGATATTGTCCGGGGTGGTGGTAGGACCGAAGTGCCCGCAAGGTCATGCCATTTGTCGGTTCTCGGGATCCAGGCACTTTGGGATCAGTCAGCTCGGGGGTAGAGAAGGGCTAGGCCAGGGGAGAGGAAGGAAGAAGCTACCCCTAAGCAGTTCACTCACAGTTCCGCTGTAACCGGTGGATCTCTCGGGCGCCGGTCAGGAGGGGCCTCAGGGGAGGCTCGTCGAGGGCGCCTGGCCCCGCGAGGTTTCGGGGACGTAGGTGCATCATCCGGGAGATGGGTCAGCCAATCCGGCAGTCTAACCGGAGGGACCTGGAGGAGGTCGCATAGGGTCGGTACATCAGCTGGGGTCTGAACCGTAAATGAGGAACCATCTTTGCGGATATGTAGTCGGATCGGGTATCCCCATCGGTACGAGGCGCCTGCTTTCAGGATCACTGAGAGAAGAGGTCGTAACATGGCCCGGCGTCTCAAGGTGTTACGCGACAGGTCCGGCAGTATCTGCAATTCCGCTCCATCGAATTCCACCGGTTTTTTCAGCCAGGCCTGGCGGAGGATGTCTTCCTTCACGGAGTAATTTTGGAGGGGCAGACAATATCTCTAGGGCGGGAGACTACCGTGGAAGGGGGGCCTAGGGTGCGGTGTACTCTATCCAGCAGGATCGTGTCAGAAGCAGTGACCGGGAGCAAGGACCTGAAAACCTCCTGTACTGTGGATCGGAGGTCCGGAGGGGCAGTCGGCCAAGGTAGGCCCCGGATCCGTATGTTCTGGCGTCTGTTTCGGTCCTCGAGGTCCTCCATGCGTAGTTGGAGAGACGCTATGTGTGGCAAAACCTCAGGCTGCACTTGCTCCAAGGCCCTAACCCGCTCGTCTATGGCCTCACAGGTGGCAGATACTAAGGCAACCTCGGTGGCGATCGTCTGGACTTCTTGCCTCACCTTCCGAAGGTCCCGTTGAAGGGCTGCTTCCACTTTAGTGACCAGGGCGGCGAAGTCTTCCTTAGTGGGGAGGTATTTTAGCAAGGCCCGGAACTCCATCGGCACGTCAGTGGGCAGCTTGCCGGACGGATAGTGGTCTGCATCCGTGGAGTCCGAGTCGTATACCCGGGGCGAGTGCAGTCCAGAGGGGGTCTCACTAGGTGCGGGAGAGATGGACCTGGCATCGCCTCGTGGTGAGCGGAGTTCGGACGCCATGTTGGACACGTTGCGGCCTCGGGTCCGATTCCGAGTCGAGGGGAAGAAATGCTGTCCCTGTCTGTGAGGGGTCCCTCTCGTGAGGCAGCTGTGCCCTCCTTCCGCCGTTTAGACATCGTTTGATAGGCAAAGTTGGGTGGGTATAAGTGGTTTTCAGTAGTATGTAGGCTGGTGAGACCACGGAGCTCGAGCGTATGCGACTTACTCCGCCATGAACAGGACACGCCCCTCCGTGTATTTGTTTCTAAACTGTTTTACAGCCAGTTTACAACACCCATTTATGAACCGGCACATACAAAGTATTTTGCACATCCTTGGCTATGTAGGGTTTGATGTTTCTGCATTCCATTCTAGTTGATCTGCTTTGTGCCAATGTGTCTGAAGCTGCACTGCAATATGTTACTTCCCATGAATGCCTGACACAGACATGAGATTTACATCGTACCTTTTGTCATTGATTTGCACATTTTGAAG